ACAAAGCATTTTTTTCAGGGGACCGAAGTGAATTGATGTATAACAGAAAATCAAACAATTTAAATTTAATATTTCATAAGAACACTAATTTTGACAATGCAATAGCCATTGTTAAGATGACATTTAATGATAAAAGGCCAAGAGGAAGGCCCAAAAAGAGATGGAAAGAATATGTGGATGTGGATTTTGCCATCCTAAAACCTTAAAATAAAGAACTGGAAATCAATTACTGGGAGAAGGGCAGAATGGGAAAAGCTTCTGAGGAAGGCCCAGGCTCACAAAGGGCTGTCATGCCAATGCTGGTGATGACTTAATAATTTGAACACACAAAAATATACAATTCTTTCCATACACATAGGCAATTAAGAAGAAAAAAAATTTGAAGGGGAAAAAATTGTATTTTAGAGTTGAGAAAGCCTTGAGAGTTTCTGAAATCCATGGCAAATATTCAGAGATTACATAGAAAAAAAAACAAAGTACAGAAAAAAAACCTACAATCAATATTTTATGTTTTTCAGTCATATAAACAAATTATTTTAACAAAGCATATATTAAGAATAAACTGGGACTGCAAATAAATTACGGATAAATGTGATACAGATAAAATGTGCTTTACTGTAACAATAAAAAAAAACTAAAATTATCGCCATCTGTTGGTACTTTCATCAGTGGAATCAACAAATCAAAAAGTGCTAACATCATATATGGGAAACCAGAAATTCAAACGGTAGTTTTGAATTGAAAAATAGGTATTTATCCATTAGCTGGGTACCTTATCAAAATGGTTACAAGTTTTTTAGCATTAAGAAGGACAGTTACAACTAATCAGATTTATCTTAAGCTAATTAAAAATTAACTTTAAACAGTTAGTCTTTTCAAAGTTTTGGAAAGTTGTTTAAATTAAGATGGACTAGCAATTGTATAAAAGGTGGAGACAAGAATTCAATTTTTTCAAAAGAATAATCTATTGCTGAAGTCCTTATGAAGTTTGGCTATTTTGTTTCGCACCCAGTTAACAGATTAATACAGAAAATATATTAAAATAATGTTCTATAAACATTCAAATATATACAGGCTCGTGGGCAGTTAGTGTTTACCTTGAATCTGGTATTTTCTTTGCTAAGCCAAAATCACCAACAGCTGCAGTCATCTCATCTTCATTCATTTTGATGAGGACATTCTGTAGAACAAAGTATCACTATTTACAAATCAAATACAATAATAATATAAGTCAAAACTTTCAAATTTTCTTTATAAATAAAATGAATATTAAAATTAAAATGATAAAAAAATTTTATGTCTCATATATTAAAAATGCACAGCAAAATTAGAACATTATAGTAACTTATGAAGATAAAAGATTTCAAATGTTTGAAGTAACAAAAACTTTAATTTGAAAGAATTACAGTTGCATGCTGAACGATACGTCAAATTAAAGCCATAATTTGCAATGAGAGAAACATAAAGAGCTATATTAAAGACTATAGATTTTGGGATCATACGAAAAGATTTAATTCGTTTTAAATGTTTATATGTCATTACCTTTTTCCATACTTATTAAGAGAAGAACAAAGAGGATTTCTGTATAATTCTTTAACTTTCAGAAAAAGAGAACTTTAGTGAAAGAGAAATTTAGCCTTAACCTAAAACCTTTTAACTAAACTGAACTTGTGCCGGGCACAGTTTAAGCTCAATTCATCTTAGACTCTTTGATGCAGGAGGGATGCCAGTGTCCCTTTCATATATATATTCTAATTACAAACACATATATTTTGTTATTTTTCAACTATGAAAATCAGTAATAGTTACGAAAACAAATTGTTAGAAGATTATCACAATTATATTTACACTAAAATATAAAATCCAAAAAAAGCAGTTTGAATTTCTTTTTAATCATATGAAAATTGATCAATAATTGATTTTGTAAATTAAAGAAATTTCAAAGATAAATAACTTCCTCTTAAATATAAATAATTGCAATTAAGTGCAAACTTGAAAAATTATTGTTCGGAAGTGAGCAGTGTTTGGAAGATTTAATATTTAACACAAGAAAAGATACGGCTGTATATCATAATCATGAATTATTAAAGCGCTAAATATAATATTTTTCACTCATTTTGACCTAAATTAATACCAAAGAATAAAAAATATGTTTAATAAAAATTGTGTGTCAAAGAGTTAAATGTCATAGTAGTTCAATTAAGATTTACAAGTATTAAAAATTCAAATCTACTAAAAAAATATTGTTCAAGCATTTTAGGTCTAATTACACAAAAAAAAAAAACTAAAGGAGCGAAAAAAGGGGGGGGGGGAAGAAAAACATAGTGCCCCAAAGCATGGCTCAAAACTAAAAAACTATTTAGGATAAATTTAAAATGTTTATTTTGCTTAAATTTATAACTGTTAAAAAATAACTGATTATGATTTAATAATTTTACAGCCAACATGTTCTTATAACCAGTAGGTAAAATTATTGAAAAAAAGATAAACCTCTGAAATAAAATAATAAATTTCAGTTCTTATCCTTACAATACACATTTAGTTCTCCATAATTATCACTATATTATGATATGTAAAAATAGCTTTAATAGCTGATAATTTCTTACCAGTGAACACACTAAAATACAAGTAAATAAAATAAAAATACTAATCAAACAAATCTGATGCCAGCAACTCAACAATAAACACAGAATGAAAAGAAAGATGAGGTTAAATCATAACAGATGTTTTATACCTTTGAAGTAAGATCTCTATGAAAAGAAAGATAACACACTAATATTTCCTTTTTTGCACTTTATAATTCATAATCGCATTAAAAAAATAAAATCTGTAGCAGTAACTACCAATAAAAAAGATAGACGACGAAATCATGCGAATCGAACTCTTCAAAAAGGGGTTACTAAACGCGTGTTTTCATTTTGAGATTTAGTTGTTGGGACAGATTTTAAAAACTATGTGGAAATCAATAGTAATAACTGCATGAAAAATTGGAATGAACATTTCCACAGAAAAGAAAATCAAAATTTTTACTTCATCATTCTTTATCTTTCATTATTCTCCAATTAGAATAGAAAAATCACAAGTATTTTTTTCCCCACTCCGAAATGCGAGAAAGGCATCTTTTGAGTATAATTCTGAAGAAAAGATAAAATCGCTTGAAAATTTCGGCAGAAAAGAAAAGCAAAAATTTTTATTCCCCAAAGGAAAAATACTTCTGCAAGAACTCAGTAACGTTCTGCAGCAATGTCGCCACAATTCTGGCTCACTACACTGCTTCATTCAAAAAGCAGCACAAAGAAAAAGTAACAACTAATTTTAGTTTTGTACAACTACTTATAGCGTGCTACATCAGACTACTGGTTTATAGGCATAAAATGGAAAAAATTAAAGAGGTTACCCTCTTCTCGCTTTGTCTATTAACTCATGGCAGAGGAAGAATAAAAGTTTTTCCTATTTTCATGCCCGTTTTGCATTAATCCTACAAAATATTATATAAATTGTCACAAGAATTGTGGTAATAAGTAATAGGATTATATAACAAATATTATCTCATAAGTAATTTTTCAGCTAGCTTTAAAACATGACTATTTCATGAATGACTAATGTAACAAAGAAAAAAGAACTTCTACACAAATACTTTTCAGCAGTAAATACAAGACTTAAGAAACAATCGATAACAAATTAAAATATTTTTTAAATACTGCTTTATGGGAGAAAAAAGCATCAAATATAAAGCTACATAATAAAGCTACATAATAATTTACAGCAGTTTTTGAAACATAATTCATACATCATATCATTAATAGACCTTCAGAAAGTGTATCATCGGTAAAATGTTTTAATTATCTTGGAAAAACTGAATTATCTTTGGAATCTTATAAGTTTAAATTGAATAACATTTAAATATTGCATACAGACACAATGAATATTAATAAAAAAACAAAGCTGAGCATAAAAACTGAAACTAAATTGACAAACACTTACAACTTACAAAAAACTAAGAAAGGAATTAATTGACAAATAAGAAAATTTTTAAAATCTAAACTGCTTGCACCTGACTTTAATCTATCCATCTATGAAATATGACTTTAATCTATCGACGAAATTAAAATTTTATTTGAATAGTTTTGACACATTTTGAAAGTTGAAATTTCAGCAGTAGGGTTATTTTTTCAACTTACTTAGAGTTACATAAACTAAAAATAAAATATTTTATAAAATTAAAAAAAGAGCAGAATATCCAGTCTCATGGCTGAATAACATGATTGGCTATTTTAAAAATTAGGCCAAAAATTAAATACAATTAAAGCTCTTGGTTCTTGCTTTTAATTTCTTTTGCTTTATGTGCAAACATGAAAAATAGTAAATTTATATAATAAAAGTAGACTATTTAAGAAGGTAAAAAGTACCTCTGTTCTAGGCAAAATATCAGGATCAGTTTCGATTCTATCAATAATTTCACACATGATGATACCAAAAGAAAAAACATCAGCCTAAAATAAAATATCTTTTAAAATCTAATTTATACTTTCATTTATAAAACAAAAAAGATGGTTCACTGTTATCTTTTATGTAAGAGACAAATTTGAAATGGAAAATTTAAAAATAAAATTACATCTTTTTTCTTAACAACTACTAATGAAACAAAATTTTCTTAGAATATTTAACGAAATTATGTAATTAGAAAATTTTGTTACCATTTTTCAAAAGAAGCTTAATTTTTATTTAAAAGCGAAACAGTAATAGTAATGTCAGTTTATTATCATAATAATAATATGGACAACAATTTATTTATTTACACACTAAACTTTACTGCTATTCACAGGCAAACCACCAGGCCATCTATCTTTCAAAGGCTATAAATGTCGCTTAAATCACACACACGCATTGGCGACACATCTGTCACCTAGAAATATGTTAGGAATTTTCAGAATAGTAACGAAAAATAGAATTTTGCATTCATTTCCATGCATTTAAATAAACCTTTGCTGCACAAATTTTATTGTTCAATGTGTAATATGGAATTTAAAATGTGTGGTGTTCAAATGGAATAAGAGAACATATCTGGTACAAATTTTTAAAAATTTAAATGATGAAAACATGTTATTTTACATGTTGTGCTGTGCTTTGCATTCATGTACTGACCTTGAACCTTTAGCAAGTACAGACTTTGACATTTTTATTCATGAATTATTAATAAATAAAATAAAATTTTTTGCTTTTTTAGAATTGACTTTAAAATTTTATAATTTAGTTATTCAAAACGTTATAATTTTTAATCTAGTATTCTGTTAGGTCTAACTTTTTCTATTTTCTTCATTTACTTATTTGATCTCATCATTTTAACGGCTAAGTTGAATCTATTTTCAGCTTCCTTATACTTAATTTTAATAAATA